CCGATTTGTAGAAACTTGTTTGCTCTACAAGATGTGATAGCTTGTTAAGTTCGAAACTATTCTAATTAATCTGTATTATTCAAAGAAAATACAGAAAAACCGTTCTTTGATTAATACAGATTAATTAGAATAGTTTCGAACTTAACAAGCTATCACATCTTGTAGAGCAAACAAGTTTCTACAAATCGGCATACTTGTTGAATTTTCGGTTGCTTGTCTTTGCTCTTTCAGACACGTTTTTCAGATAGCCCAAAAATCGATGAAAAACGAAACTCAAGTCCATAACGAAAATCGAACGAACTTCCGATACCAATTTTGATAGATAATATTACTCGGAATGCAAATGTCTACATCACTTTTACGCCAAGAACAAACGTCACGAGTGTATGTTACTAGCAGTTCTTAAACTTCAGCAACATATAATAGGAGATAAAACTAAAAATGAGAGACAGTGCAAGCACCTTTTGATAAATCACTGACGTTTGAAAGAGAAACAAAAGAAAATACTTATGATTTGCCATGACATGAATAGGAAAAGACATGTATCCTGATGCTAATGTTTGTTGCCGTTTAAAGGGCTCTTGAACTGAGACTAGTTTTGCCAACCAATAATACCACCGAAACGGTGTTAATATAAAATGCACTGTCTCATGTGTAACAGTTGATATTGTTTCTGTATAACAAGATGTGGCCAAACCATTAACAATCAATGTCCCTTCAAATGTTTCGGGTGTATATAAACCACAGTTAGACTCTCGGTAAACATTTTTTAATGCAACTGGGTGCACGTTAACTCCATCTTGGACATACAATAAGTCATTTGGTTTCAAATTAAATGCAGTTAAAAACCGTTGCTTCTTGCCATAGACAGGTAGATAATGATGACATGTTACAGTTAATGTTTGATTGAAAACAGTTTCAATCACGCAAAATTGAGCTTTAAAATAAATTCGGAATAAAGCAGAGATTATATTAATCCTAAGTTGAGAATAATCCAAGCGAATCAGAGGAGTATAGATTATTTTAAGGTAACTAGAGAACAAACACTTTATCGTACGCGTTTGGTTGAATGAGAAGCGTATAGTGTATTTTAATTATGAAATGGGTAGATAGCAGATAGTTCCATGGAGTTAACTCAGATTATGAACTTGTGACATTCGTTGCGCATCCCTTAGGGGCAGACAAATAGAGAAGTGTTCTGGTAGGATCTTGTAACAAGTGTTGAACGATCCATATGATAAGAATATAGTACACGTTAACACTTTCTGCCCCTACAACTTCATACATCAGTTCAACACGAAATATAGTGCGCAGTTTCAGATTTGACTATTCATAAAACTGACGTTTAGTCTTCACTCTTCTCAGAGTATTCATTCTGAATCAATAAGTGTAGAGGGATTGCTTCTCTACGTAAGCTCTACTTATGTTAAAACCATGAGACTGATCCGAAGTCCGCTTCTGATCCAGTTTTAGGCACACTCACTCTCGATCATCGTACAAACCTGTTTTATTCGGTTTGCTAGAAATCATCATCACTACTTCGTCTTCAACAATTTGATTTTGTTTATTCAACGAATAAACGTGATCACCAGAGCGTAGATCCTTCACTTTCTTATAGTTACCATTTGTCAATGAAACAAGTCCTTCGCCGTGGAAACAGCCTGTTCAGAATAAATAGGCAAAAAGATGTGTCTGATTTCTGTTGCTACACTAGTGCTGTATTAGTAATGTCCAGAAGAACTAATGCTACGAGAAGCAGTCTACACTAACCTGAAGCTGTTACCGTTGCTAAGCTGGTGGTTGTTGCTAAGCTTGTAGTTGTTGCTAAGTGTGTGGTTGTTGCTAAGCTTGTGGTTGTTGTTAAGCTTGTAGTTGTTGCTAAGTGTGTGATTGTTGCTAAGGTTGTGGTTGCTGCTAAAGTTGTGGCTGTTGCTAAGGTTTCGATCGTTGCTATAGTAATAGTAGAATCTGTATGAATACAATACGTAAGTGTGCCTAATACTGATCTATAAACATTGTTGATTCACCCTCTTTTCTACAGTGCAGGAAAAATTTCATAGAAAATCTGAGACTTGGGACTCAGAATTTTGGGCTACCGAATTCGGCCGGTGCAGAGAATAATGACTACAGAAAAGCATATTGTGGAAAACATTGTATCATATTAACGTCGAGTGTACCACATCGAAAGAAATCATTTTTTGAAAGGTTAAATTATTTGTGTTACCCGGCCCTGCAGATAACAGTGAAACTTTGCATGTTTTTTCCGTGGAATGTTTGAAAGTGATCCGTGAATATGACGAAATTTTGTGATATTATTCGCCGTCACCGTCCACGTTTTCCTGGAAGGGCCTTAAACTAACTTACCTCTTGCTGAATTCGAGAAGACCATTAATGTTTGAGCATATAATGTAACAAAAATATTTTAGTCATTGTATTATATTAACGTTCTACTTGGTCCTACTTCAAAATATTTTTTGTTTGTTTATTCAATAAAAAGGCAAAAAATCTATCATGTTTTCTCTATAGATTTGAGATTCATTATTAAGATGATGTCATCTGATTTATATTCAACTATTTTTTCTCATATTAAACGTTGCATATACTACATCGGCTAAGATACAGGGAAAATTTGACGTACAAAAATATTTAGATGAGGAAATAAATTAATTGATAGGATTACAGCAGCTACTTTCAATTCTTAAATTTATTAACCACTTAAAATCCAGTTTTCTACGTTTCGAATGACATAGCGTTCGTTGTTTAGAAAAGCTGAAAGCAACTGCGTGCAGTGGACCTTAAAAACAAAAATATTGCCCTCCACGTTTGTATAAACCAGACACAGACGTAACTGTTACATAGAACTGTATGACAAAAATATAAAAAGTAAAATAAAGATAGAAATAGCTGACTGCCATTAGTTTAGTGAATATTATTAGCCGTCCGGCCGTGGATCAGGTGCGAAAAAATGCTCGTTTACTTTTCAAAGCTCGCTTGTAGTTAAAGCTTTTTCAACACGTATCCGACATATATCAGAAGAATAGTGGCAGTTTCTTGTTGTTTACGCTTTTCCTGTTTACTTTAACAGTTGTACTGCGACTTGAAAACGCGCAAACTTTTATCCGGACCTGATGCGAACTGGAGGGGAGGGCAATTTCAGCATTAAACTCTTCCTTTTTCGCACTGTACTCATCAGCATTTTCTGCTACCACGATATTTTAGCAGAAAAGTTTTACACTAGTCGCAACGAAAATTTATCCATCTCCGTTAAAAGCCTCTCGCCGACCCTGTCTTTATCGAAGACTTTTAATTTATATGTGCACCAAAAATGACTAAAGCACATGAAATACGGTTAGCTAATCTCACTTTTTGGTGTAAATTCTATCGTAAAGGACGCTCAAATACTACTCCTGCTTTTTGTTTTTTGCTATTACAAACCCTGTATTCTACTGCAAACTTAAAAGACTAGCTGAAATCAAGTTCACTGCGAAACGAAAGCTCTTGCCCTAGTCTACTCTTATCAACTGTATGACATGCTCGTGTGAATTCACAGCCACGAGCAGAATGATGCTAAATTTATGAAGTATAGAGTTTTTCTGGGACTTTGTGCTGTGGATGTTATTACAAAAAACGTGGGAAAACATCGAATAAAGTACGACAATCACACATTCAATCAAAAACTTACTTGAGCTATCTGCGACTGCACTACCTATAAAGTATTCAAAAATAATGGATAGTTAAACGTGTTATTAGCGAGTCTCACTTTGTTTCATATAAAGTGCAACAATAATTCCAATAATTATACCAGCAATAATTAAAGTAATAATGAGAGCTAACAAACAACTTCGATAGAATGGTGAACAGCAACACCTAAACCAACAAACATATAATCAATCATTGAGGCCGAAATAACAGTAAGAAGCAATACTTAATAAATGCTGTTGCTATTTGTTTTATTCTTTTTTGATTTCTTGATTTATCAGGTGGCTCTACTAACCATGCACTTTTTGGCAAACCAACTTGAGAACTCAGCCAGATACTCGTGATTCCACTCAATGCCTCTGAAGTAACGATTGATTGTCCAGTAGATGACGCTTTCACTTTATAATTCAAACTATCTGAACTATGAGCTTGAGTTGACCATTGACGTTCTAAAAGACTCATTCCGATTTTCGGCTCCTGCAATAAATCAGAATTCCTGAAACAAAATTTTCGTTTTGTAAAACTATCTACCCAAGCAAAAGAAAAAATCGATAAGCTAGTTCAACCTAAGTTGAACTAGTTTATCGATTTTTCCATTTGTTTGGGTAGTTGTTTTGGTTGACTATTGTAGCCAAAGTCTTTATCTCATCTTATTCTTTCGATATCAATCTTCAAACGCATATACAACAACATACAAAATGATTGGGTATATGTCTAAGGAAATAAAAAATAAAAATTCACATACCATGAGCAACTTGTCATTCCACAAGAAATATTCAATTTTGAAATATTGTTGCTTCTTGAAGCCTACTATTATAGTAAGACATAATTTCATCTGTAACTAGTGCTTATTTAGGATTCTATTTTCACAAACCGTGTAAAACAGCTTAAACAGAACAAATTGATCCATTTGCATGGCTTTACTCGAGAAATCGAAATTTACATATCTGTGGCAAATACATTTTTCCAATTTATTTACTTTACATTTTTCAAAAATACAGATGTTCTTGATAGTCTGAATGACTATAAAAATAACTTTATGCGCAGAACTCTATTAATCAATGAATTATGTATGACTGCAGCTGAATCAATCATTATTTATGAATTTATTTAAGCTTTTGAATAAACTTTATTCATCATTAAAAAAATATAACATGGTTATAAAATGTACGTGTACATTTTGTACATTGCATTTCCAACATTGTTCTGTTTTACATGGACGATAGTTTACACTTTTCTTCTCTCCTCTGATATTGTACAACAAAAACTAAAAAAGATTAATTAAGGATAAAACTAAAATTTAGAATTAATTATGAGCTATGAACAACATACTAGTATGACAAATGAACAAAAAGATTGATTATATGATGGAAAATTAATGTAACAAACTAGGCAAGAATTCCAACTGAAAGAAAATAGTAATTCTGGTGTATCATTAAAAAGACATGCAACAAGTGAAGCCATAAGAATTTTTAATTACGAAGAAAACTTAACAAATAATGGACTATGGCAATACACAAATAATAACAAATAAAAGAAAAGACTCAACAACTCTAATGATAAAGATGAACGTTAAGATGCACAGAAAGCAAGATTCCAGTGAAAAAATAGATTTCGGTTTTCCAGCGTCTATTCGATAGAGAATTGAACGGCGAGTCCGAATATCGGATCCTGATCCTTCAGAACCCTTTCCTCGCCGAGCTATGGTCAAATGCTCGCTTTTGGTTCTCTTATGCATTCTCTCTTATGTGATTCTTTCATATTTGTATCTGTTTCTTATCAAGTATTTGATACATTCTCGTATTCTTCTCTTCTTCCTTGGCTTCTGTTTTTTTAAAACGTGCTTGATATGTAGAGGCATGTGAGAGAGTGAGTGGAGTCGCGCGAGAATTTCAAGAAGCGTGAGATCTTCCTCAAGTTTATCAGGAGATTCTGGCGGTGTCTCCAGTACTACAAGGATGGGCAGGACTATGCTACTGTCATGAAGTTGTTCTTCAGCGAGAAATGTGAAGGAAAGGTGTTGACGCACACCAGAATCAGTAACACTGGCTTAGCTTGAAAGAGTTAAATTTTTGGACTAATTCAGACTGTCTTTTTGTGTTACCTTCGGCTTCATTTCTTTTTCTACAACTGATTTTCCCGTACATACATTCAGTGGCATCAGAATACACGTGTGCAGAAGGAAAACTGAAGAGAACAAATCTCGAAAAAGTGGACGTATAACTTTGTAGAGTTTTAAACGGCGAATCGAACGGTGTAAAACTTTTGGCTCTACGACCTCTCCAGGTGGAGTTGATGCATTTGCAAAAACAGTTGTCGCATTTTCGTCGCAGTGGTTTCGACCTTCCGCAAAAACCCATTCGTCGTCTTGGAGATCTGAAGACTACATGACTAGTTTCAGTTTTTGATGCTGAATCCGAATATCGAAACCGCAAATCTCTACGATCTTTCTCGGTGAAGTTATGGGCATTTTTCGAAAAACGGGTATTTTTCCGGTTTTTGGCGATCGCTCCGTATTTTGGAATTTTCTCGGCGAGGAAAGGGTTTTGAGAGCCGGGATGGTGATATTCGTGATTGCCGTCCGATTCTCTATCGAATGGTGTATAAATCAACCAAATCTATTTTTTCACTACATCTTTGAATGAGCTGGAAAGGTACTTGCTCAAGTGCCCTTGCAAGTTTTGCTTATGGGACTTTCTTACCTGTGAGAAGTTTGACAAATAAATATAGTACTTGGCAAGTGTTGTTCTATGGAAAATACTTGCCGTGTTCCGATAATGCATGTCAAGTCCCTGCAGAAATTGGCACGTAAGCAAGTACCCATCCGCAAGTACATTCACTGGGGTGTGGAGAAACATATGAAATTGTTAAATTTCTAGTTTCGCGATACGTTAGTCATCAAGCGACTTTGCGATGATGACGAGTAGGCTTGAAAATAGATCCATGATATTTCAATATTCTGAGAATAGAAATCACTTTGTGAGTCGACTTGCACTATTTGTTTAAGCTACATTTATTGTAACTGAGGAAAAAGGTACAGAACAAAAAGGAAAGAGGTGCACGATATCATGTTTGACTGTTTTGGTGCTGTTGCATATGAGCATACTATTAAAACAACAAAAGAAAGGTACTGACAAACACTGAAAGGAACTGAAAAGAAAAGAAGAACAGAAGAATGTGTAATGAGTGGAAACGACAGGATGTATGAGAATGAAAAGTAGTACAGCCGAAATTAGAGAGGTAGTATGTTTTTTATATATTCGACAAGAAGCCTATACAATGGAGAAAGTTTTGCGTTGTTTATATTTTCAAACTTATCTAGAAAAGAAAAGGTTGTTTAGTGTGAACGGTGACTGCGGTGCGATATTACAGCAGTCATTCTTTACTTTTGAACGAAAATAATCATAGTGTGAGCATTCTAAGAGCGAATACTTGAGGAAAAATAGTCATGTAACTTTACGCGAAAACAACCAAGTTTGGCAATTTGGCGCAAATTAATACGCAGCTTATCCAATTGTCTTACCACTCACCGGAAAAAGGTATTTTTAAATTTTTGTGTCCGAGTAATAAACGAGACAGCGACATTATCGCGAATACAGAAAACGACATAACCGCGAAGACTTGTTCATTGGAAAAGAAGAATAAATGCCCCTGGTTTTGTATTTTGTACCTCATGTTTTGAAACCTGAATGAAGTTATGTGATGAATAGTCATTACTTGATACAGTTTACCATCATGAATATATGTTTTGTGTGAGACTACATTTCGAATTCACTCTCACACTGCCCGTCCCCTCCTCCCGCCTCTCGCGAACACTGCTAACAATATCCAAATGTGCACCATGAAAATTTGTGGAAGAGTCGGGGTCCTGTTCGCGAAAGGTCGTGTCACGGGTTCCACACTGCTATAAATAGTGAGCTTCAGCTTATCGTGTACCGAAGAAAAACCCGGTCAAACACGATAAGCAATGAAACTAGATAGCTGTAATGGTATCACGTAATAACTATTAACTACATAAATTCGCCCAGGTTTCAAAACATGATATACAAAATACAAAACCAGGCTCATTTATTCTTCTTTTTCAATCAACGAGTCTTCGCGATAATGTCGTGTCACGTAATAAACGTATATAGCTGTCTTGCTATTCAAGATCTTAGAAATTCCGAAACAGTCGGATAGTTTGATATTCTTCGAGAGCAAAAAGTTGGTGTACTATTTCTCGAGTATTTTACAATTATACGAGTGCTTTCATAATAGCTCAATCTTCTCGAAGTCTTCTGAGTTTAGTTTGATAACTATCGGTACTATTTGACAAAGCCGGATACTGTTTATTGCAAAGCAATACTTCTCATCACTATTAACGTTTTTCTTTCCATGTAATATGAAGTATTAACATAAGATATAGGATATTATGAACTAGTTACGAGACGTATGAAGTAGTCCCTTAATAATAGAAATTTTCCTATCGATATGCATCTTATATATTTGTGTTTCTGTTTTATCTTTCCATCCATTTTTGTTCTATGAAGTAGTACCTCGATAATAGAAAATAGCACTTCGTATTCGGCATCGAATATTGTTGCATGTTCAATAGCACTTGAATTATAGCAAAATTTTGAATTTATATAACGTTTTAAATTCGGCAAGTAATCTGGAAATTGTGAGGATTTACTATCATCTAAAATCAATTCAGGATTTACCTTATTACTTGCCATTTGTACTAAAAAATATAATAATTTTATATAGGTAAATACAATCACAGCAATATTATCTAGAGATCGTAGATATCTGATTTTATAAAAACCATGTTTAAGCTATATGATGAGTATCTCAAGAAAAGATTACTGTTCATTTTGGTTGAACACAAGATTCAAGTTTCATTTTGCTTATAAAATAGTGTCAATCGGTGGTGTGTAGCCGAAAGAAAACTGCCGCTTTTGACCTTTCTCCACGTCATGGGACGACGCATCGAACTCTCAAGTAATCCATCAGAAAGAGCAATGTATCCGCTTTTTGCTGAGAAAAGAAACATTTTACAAAAATTTTAAATTTTTACCGAGCAAAATTAAATTCAAGATACCCACGACTCAATTTTGAATTTGTCTTTAAAAAGTCGAGACTTTTTCATCTAAAACAAAACAAAACTATAATTTCACATATACCAGAAGTAAGACCGTGAAAAACTCTACAAGCATCTCTAATTCAAACTTACGAATGTTAAGTTTTATGGATCTTTTTAAGCGACTTTTTCAAGTATGATCGACAGACTCTTTTGTTAAGCTTTTTAAAAGCGATCTCTTTTCATCTGCTCTAGACTAATCTAATGTACGAGAAAATAAATAACTCTTTGAAGAGTTGGTGGTCAGTTGTTAAAAATGTTCACAATAAACGAAAGCACTCTTCTATTCCAAGCCTCGTGAATCCTATGTCTGGAAAATTATCACACCATCCCTGAGATAAAGCTAATTTATTAAAAAGGCATCCTTTTCCAAAGTTTCTACTACTGATACTATCACTCTCCACGCTTTTCCAAAACTACCAGAATGTTATCATATGAAAAAAAAAACTTCTGAGACGCGTGTTTTTATTCGATTTCCTTTTACCCATATAGTCTAGGCTATATGCTCTGGTGATCGTGAAAGTTTGATTAAACCCTTTTTTGTTTGAACTTTTTCGACTCTTTATAGCGAAATTCATTCTTATGGTCTATAGCAACGCTGTCATTGGCGCCATAAGAACCAATGGTTACAGTATGCAAGACG